ACAACGGAAGGGAACCGCTTTTCCCCCCAGCAGCTCGGCGCCCCCCCCACCCAGCCCAGGCCGCCCTTCACTGGGCCCTACCTGCCGCCTGGCGCTGCTCCGCCGCCACCGCCGCCCCCAGCGCCCCAACTCCGCCGCCTCCCGCGCCCCGCGCCGCCGCGCAGCCCCCACGGGGAACCCCAGCCAGCCGGGGGAGCGGCTCCGGCCGGCAGGCACCCCCCGCCGCGGCGGAGAGAGACGGCAGCAGCCGGCGCCCCGCTGACACCACCCGCCACATGCCCGCCGCCCGGCTCCGGCACGAAGGCCCGCCCCTCCCCGGCATGCTGCTCAGCCATTGGCCAGTGGCGGGGGCGCCCCACTCTGCTTTACTTAATGTGCAGAACTATCTATCTGCTGCCTTTTATCGAAGAGCAGGTGAAATCAGGGGCAATTATTCCTGAAAGAACAGAGGAAAACAGGACCAGTCTGAAATAAAAAAAAAAAAAAAAAAAAAAAAATTTCCTAAAGAAATGAAACACACACTCTTTCCCCCAAACAACGCAACCACAGGCATGAAAAACAAGGTCACTTTCGTTGAGCATTACAACCAGCAGCTGCTGTGCTGGGAAGAGATGCAGAAAGGGCTTATAGTTTGGGGGGCTGTAGGGGAAAAAGGTGATTACCCTCAGGATCCTGCTTACTGATGCAAGAGCAAGCTTCTCCAGAAGGAAGAGATCCTCATCTAGTGATGAAAGGCCTGTCCTGCAGCGGAGAAAAGCAGTTTGTTTCACATAGCTGTGTTTTTTTACCATTTCAAAGCTCTTCTAACTGGTTACCAGAGCACGCAGCAGTCAGCACACACTGAGCAGTCCGATAGCAGCAAGTAACGCTCAGTGACTAAGGGCTTCCTTCAGAACTACTTTTGCCCACTTCAAAGGAGCTGGAGGTTTCCACTGCCACAGAAGTGTCCTTTTCCAGAAACTGGGAAGAACACTAGGAGAGGAGCCAACTGTATGCTAAGAATGAGCTGAATGTTTTAACGTGAAGACAAGGAATTGAAGCTCTTCAGGTTTTGGTTTGTGGTTTTTTTTTAATTTTTATTATTAGAAACAGATTGGCCTTGGCTGAAAAACTGACTTACTGTTCTGTTAACTCAAGACACATTTATTTGTCACTGCTGCTCTTGGCTTTTGTGTGCACAGTAACACCAGTCTCTTTTCTCTCCTCCTTCAGCGTGGAGTGTGACTTGCTTCAGTGTGACCAGCAGCAAATGCCTTGATATGAGAAACCTCATCTAAACTGTACAATTTCACATAGTTTTTGCCTGCAGCACTCAGGTATTTCCACACTGCCACTACAGGTAGGGCTTTCGAAGACACTAGAGACTGAGCATGAGTTTCAGGGTCAACAGCTGCCTTTGCCCTGCTCTTCTCACTGCTACCTCCATTGAGGCAGTGACTCCCTTAGGAAGCTCCCCTACGATAGCGTTCCTTCTCTGACATTTTACCGTTGGACTCGATCTAAAGGGTCTTTTCTAACCTTAATGATTCTATGATTCTGATCATTTTTGTAGCTTGTTCAGAACGTTACCCAGGCACACCCAATAAATACACAGGCTTGCACTCATCAACTGTAGTGACTGTCATGTCAGCAATCGAGACTGTAGGTGTCTCTCAGAGCTGTGAAGCACACTCCTTTCTCCTTCAATGCAGCAGCTGCATTAAGTTCTTGTCTCAAGGTCATCGCTGCTGTTAGGAGTCAGTCCAAGTATAAAGTCTTCTGGCAGCGACTGTGGAATCATCTGTGCTAACTGGTCATCGTAGGAACCAAGTGTCCATAGTTTTTCCAGTTCATAAACCTCCCGTGTCTCTGGCAGCATGAAATGGATCACCACGCTGCCTGCACAGAACAAAAATCCACAATAAATTAATGGGAACTGTAAAGCACTACTACACTTCCAGCTGCACGAGTTCAAGCCCTCCACCCCCATTCTGGCTACATGTAACACATCAGCTGATGGAAGTCTCTTAAGTTGTAGATTCCAGTTCCTGAACAGAGTTAGGAATTGGTTGGTTCTTCACAAGACTCCAGGACTACAGCCGGGAGAATGAGCGGGACAATACTCTGGTTTAAATTAAAACACTATGACAAGACTCCAGAGCAAAGAAGTTATGACTTCCAGGGGACAGAAGGAAGTAAGTCAAAAGAAATTTTAGTTGAAAGAGTCCCCTTTGTAAGGTTACAGATGGACTTTCAGCTTTCCTCTATCACCAACAGCATTCAGCTATAGCCAAGTAATTTTCCTCAGGTGTGCTGCTCACACTTCCTAGGTGACTGTTATAATGAAACAGGTCCAAACTTTGATGTAATAAGGTTTTTCTTACAGGTTTTCATTAATTCTGTGCAAACAATAGTAGAGAACGTTAGTTCCAGTATACATCTAATGCACCGTTTTTCTAGTTATGCCTTAAATTTGAATTGTTTTTTTGTTATAACTATGGAAATCACTGACAGTAAAGTAACCAAGGCTTAATGTCACTGGCTGCAGTGCTCCTCGCCCACCCTTGCTCCCTTTTAAGCCAAAACATAAAATTTGGAGGGGGAGATTCTAGAGCTAGCAGTGAAGGAGAAATGCTTGCTGAATGCAAAGTCTTTTATGTTTGCATAAAGAGTTTCACGCTCGTAGAACAAAGAATTCAACTCAATTTCTTAGGGCTGAGTTTCACCCCATGCCATGGTACGATCCGGAGAGTGGAAAAGGCTGTCCAACAGCTCACTACGAGGGCTGCATCCAAAAAGCCCCAAACAGGGATTATAGAAACTTGAGAAAATTGACCGAAGTAGCTTTTCTCTTTCCACCACTGTTATCTTCAATGTATTAAGACCTGTTTTAGCCACAGAAGAGCAGTTACTGCTTTCTTCTCAGCACCAATGATCTTTAGTGAAAATTTATTTAGCATCTCAGTGAGTTTGAGCAACAATAACTGGAATTCCAAACCAGCAGAATAATGTGAACTCTCCACAGCAACGAGGGTTCACGGTGAGATTCTTCCTTCAACAAAGAGCTCATGCAGATTGTCATATTTGTCAGTTTCACAAATATTTACCAAAATCAATGCACAGCCAGTCATCTGTCTCTTTCCCTTCAATCTGAGTCTGAGGATCACTTTCTTCTTTGTGATGCTTGTACTGAAAGAAGCAATGGCAGAAAATGAAATACTTTGCCTTTATTTAAAAGCACTCAAACCTAACAGGTCTTTGCTGTAGGCCACAACATACTTGGTTCTTTACAAGAAGCATCAGTAGGGAAAAAAATAATGGAGTGAAGTCAACTGCATCTTCACAGAGCTCCTTTATTCAAATTTCTACTTTATTTCTAGTTGAAACAGGCAATGAAAAAAACATGGGGATCTTTTTCAAGCTGAAATTGAAAACCAAACAACATTCGTTTCAACATAGGGCCACAAGGAAACAGAGTGAAACTGCCTGGCTCTAACAGGCCTTGCTGCCACGAGAGACAAAATATAAAATATCAAGTTGGAACAGCATGGCTGGCTGGCAAATGAGCCCCACTGCACTGGGAAAGAAATTATCACAAAATGCAACTGTTCCTGGTCATTCCCATACAGTGCTACCTGCTGGACAACAGCCCAGATGGCAAAACAGAATGGAGAACTTTCAAAATGTAATTCGGAACTAGTTCTGAATCTTCCTTTCTTTATAGCTTGTGAGATCCTCAAAAGCAAGTAACTGTCAAAGACTCTCTGTAAGTCTGCTTAAAATACTAAAGAGCCAACTATGCACTGCCATCAGCAATGTGCTAGAGGTTGGAAAGGCTGATCTCCACCACAGGTTCCCTGCAGCCTTGCCTTTAGAGACTGTGTAATGGTGAACAGATTATAATGAAGCCAAGTGTCGATACCTTCCTCTAACATGAAACCAGACGGGAAGGGGTAAGCAGTAGTTGAGACCCTGCCATTTACAAACTCCTGGAAGAAAAGCAGGAAGGCCTCATGCTACACATGGGCACCTCTGCATTTTTGTGTGAGTAAATCCTGCATTACTGTAACATTTGAGGTACTGTACTGGTAGAGTCAGCCAGCTGCCCAGCAGCACTCCAAGCACGGGCTCTGCTTTACATCTTAAGCTTCAGCTTACTATTTCCCTAGAAGACTTTCAATGCCAGGCAAGCTCAGCCCCTCCTGAGTCCTTGGCCAGGCTTCCCGGTTTCTCAGGATGCCCAGGAGAACGCCACGGCTCCCCAGAGGCTCTGCCCTCACAGAAGAGCTGCTCTTGCAGCCACCAGAGGGAGCAGCCAGTTGTGGCACAGCCATGTTTTAGCAGGGTGGGTGGTATTCACTGATCTCTGCTGGTCTGGGGAGATGGAGAGCTGTTGATGTCAAACTATCAAGTTATGCAAGCAACAGAGTGCATATTAAGCACTTGTATTTAGTACAGCCAAATCACACTAATACAATTTCTAGCTCAAAGCAAAATTTTAGTTTGCAAAGATGCATCAGTTCCTGCAGAGAACACAAAAAACTCCCCTCCCCTGCTCAGAAAGGCACTAAAAAGCAATACCATCTCCCCCTCTCTCCTTCTCTGCCTCAAGACTTACAGCTGAAACCAATGGGACTGGAAGAAACAAAGTAAAATGAAGAGCCAAAGGAAAAATGGGGTCAGGAGGGGAAAGAAAGTGTGACATGCCATCTTTTTTCCAGCCTTATGACATACCTAAGGCCCAGGAAATTTTAGGGATTAGGGTTTGAGAATAGTCAGATGCAGCTTTTTCAATGAATGGGAATAACTATGAAGCTTGCTGGATGGAAGACAAATGGTTATCACGACCTGTGTCCACTTATCACTCTTGGTGTAGTCACTGAACTATGCTAATGTCATCACTGTTCTAAATGCAGAGAGGCCTGCTTTTAAAATATATTCTCTACATTTTGAGTAGTACCGCTAAAGAGAAAATGACATAAGGATAATTAGTTTCATCTTGCCTGGCACCCCTATACGTGCAATGCTGGGGCAACTCCTTTCACAATATTTAAAACCATTCCCCAAAATCCAGAGAGTGCAGCAGGAACTGGCTTACCATTTTCAGCATGTAATGTGCCATTGCATGGAGATGTCGTGTTGAAGATCCACTCACAATTATAAAATAATTACAGTATTTCATTTCTGGAGGTAGCTGGATGACACAGATGTCTTTTGCATTTTCTTGCCTCAGCAGAGCTACAACAAAATCAATGTTGAACTTTGGAAGAACAGTCTCTGGAACAGAAAGAAATAAGTATTATTTTTACAGTGCCGATTTATTTTTTTAATTGCAAAAATCAACCCCTTAAGAAGACACAAAATGGCAATGAACTGAATTATAATCTAAGGTATCTACTCACTATGGAGTTTGTCTTGATACTGATAATGCAACATGAACTGCAGATTTTTTAAAATAATTTTTAAAACCATCGAAGTTGAGAACTAAGCACTCTTCTGGCAAATACCACTAGATATAGCAAACATCAAAGTTTCTTTTAGGTAACTTATTTCTTGTTGCTACTACTTAAGAGTCAATGCTATCATCAGATATTTTCATTTAAGATGAATGAAACCTAAGTACTTCAACAGACATTATTAATACAACAGACAAAATTAAAAACATTTCAGAGCAATGCTTTTCAACAGGCCTGTAATAATACATGGTGATGAAATTACTAAAAAATCTTAAGAAGATGAAATCAATATATTGAAAACAGAGCTGATGTGATGTACTATGAAGGTACCTATTATCTTCACACTGAGTGAAGCTACTTCTTTTTCCCTAACCTGTTGTCAGAGAATAACGATACTATAAGCAAAGCTTTAGTCCTTCAAGAGTTTAAGCAAGCCAGCTTACAAACTAGTAAATTAGTGCAACTACCTCCTGTTCACACCATGAAATCAGTTTATTTCTAATTTGCCCTAATTAGCTAGATGCAACTTGTGTGCATACTTAAGGCATAATTTGAATCTGTCAGCAACGAATGCCTGCCACTATAAAGTTAACGTTAGTGCAGACCGAGCACCAGCACAAAGCCAAGCTTTTTATTTACCAATATAAAGAAAAAGCCAAACAAAAGAACAATAGCTACATATAATTATACGCATGAATGGGGATATGAAATTGGATCGGATCTCTGTAAAATGAAAGCCTTTGAGCATGCACTCTTTCAACTTCTGCTGTGGTCACACATGCAGAAAATTAGCAGTGGCCACAGCTCCTCCAGATGCAGCGGTTACAAAAGTTAAATATTTGCCTGGTAGCCACATGCGAAGTCTCTAGTGCCTACTTAGAGAACGAATGGTCTAAACAAGCCCAGGCACACTCTGCCACACTGCACGCCATGGTCAGATCCAGGCGAGGGAAGATTTGCAGAAGAGCAACAACAGCAAAGCAGCTCTGTGTGCACAGTGCTTATACCTGTAACCCGCCATCACACTACTAAAACCGTTATCTATATGGGGAAATTTCCTTGCGAGTGTACATCAGAGCAGCACACGCTCAGCACCACTATCCTCACACAGATCCTGTGTGCATCTACACACAGGCTTAGGCTACACCAGCCACTGACTCCTCACTACACAGCAGGACTTAGGAGATGATGACGGTTCAACACAAACGCTGTGACCCTGAGGCCGAGGTGAGGGTGGTTCCACGGCATTAGGCACCCTCAGGATGCCCCTGCAGCTGCAGAATGAGATTCCATGCCTCCCGAACAGTTATTCTCTCCTCTGGGCACTCCATTTCGCTTAGGGCACCGTTTCACAGGGCTGGAGAGGGCAGAGCAGAGCAGAGGGCCTTCGGGCAAGCAGCCTCCTTGACCTGCTGCCTCACGACCACGCTTGGGCCTGCCAGGCCAGCGCCTCGCCTCACAACGGAGCCCCCGACACCACGTTAACCAGCGTTTCACACCCGCGGAGGTACCAGCTCTGAGGGCGCCCGAGCAGCGCCTTACCAACAGGGGAGGGCCTGCTCGACACACGGGCTCCCTCACCCGCTGCGAGCCCTCCCAGAACACCTCGAGAACGATAAAGCTTAACAATCATGACAGAACCAGACCGAAGTACCAAGCGGGAAGTCAGAAGGCCCACAACGGAAAGGAACCGCTGTTCACCCCAGCAGCTCAGCGCCCCCCCCACCCAGGCCAGGCCGCCCTTCACTGGGCCCTACCTGCCGCCTGGCGCTGCTCCGCCGCCACCGCCGCCCCCAGCGCCCCAACTCCGCCGCCTCCCGCGCCCCGCGCCGCCGCGCAGCCCCCACGGGGCACCCCAGCCA